CGTTCCGTTCCGTTCCGTTCCGTTCCGTTCCGTTCCGTTCCGTTCCGCTCCGCTCCGCTCCGCTCCGTTCCGTTCCGTTCTGTTCTATTCTATTCTATGTTACTCAATTGATATAAAATTAATTATGCTGTTTACGAAATTTCACTTGATTGCAAATAAGCTATGACATATTTACTTGCTCACTCGACAAACTGAATCACCAACAGTCCACCGACAACAACTTCGTGGTACACCTTAGCATTTAGGTACAAGTGGTAATTTAGACAAAAAACAAGTGTAATCTTTATGCAGACGTCAAGTGGCGTGAAAGAAGACACTCCATTCAACTGGACAGTATCAGTAGAGTCATCAATAGACGCCTCATACTTTGCGGGATATCTAATCACACAAGTCCCGGGTGGTTTCATGGCATCCATGTATCCTGCCAATAAGATCTTCGGAGCGGCGATTGTTATGTCTTCATTGTTCAATATTGCTATACCTGGAGCAATGTCAGTTGGGCCAGCTGCAGTTGTCATGTTAAAAGTTGCTCAAGGCTTCGTTGAGGTAAGATTTATGTTTATTAACAATAAGAACCTATGTACACGCCGACGACATGTACGATATACGCGCCTTAATTCGCGTAGGTATCGCGCATTTTGATAAAAGATAGTTTTAATTTTAATATTCTTTTGAAATGAAGCAACTATATGAAACTCTAACTCCAGTGGAGTATATATCTTCTTGCTTGCAACGCGATGTTTGCGTGCGTTTGAATCGATTCACTACAGCTTGTGCGTAGGCTCTTATTGTTTTATTGTACATATAGATATAGTTACGCTTAAAGCTTTTACATCGTTTTGAGTGAATCGTTGTCATCTTGTTTCTCTTGCATTGTACACGTACTATAGTGATTACAACTACAGAGAGAATAAAATAATCATATGTCTATAATTATTAAATACAAAGATCAAACACAAAGAAAAATTATTTCGACCCGACAGGACTCGAACCTGCGACCACGGGATTCCGTCCCCATCGCTCGTCCAATTGAGTTACTGGTAGCGTTACCAAGTCATTGAAATTCTTGCGATGATGGTTAAACATCGTGAAATTCAATAAATAATAATGATGCCAAGTTTAAATTCTTCAATATGACATATAACTTTCAAATTTAAGCAGTATTGGCATTTAATAATGTTATATGAGTAGTGTCACTGTTTACTTATCAATAGAAAGGGATACAAGGAGGTTACGCACATATTATTTTGGTAGGTAAAGACAACATTCCTGACGTCTCTCGCAACAGTCTTTTGTAGCCTTTTGCCTATTATTTTTGATACTTTTTTGATCTGAACTTTTTGTCCTCTAGACATTCTTATTTTGGTCTCGCTGTGATCGACATTTCCGTGGGTGAAGTGTTTTGTAGACGTGGTTTTATAATGCAAACCAATTAGTAAGAATGTTATATTTTATTGAATTGATATAATTGAATATCAATTCAATAAAAATTTAAAATACAGTGAATAGCGACATCTCTCGCCAGGGCTGGTAATTGTAAAAATATCTAAATGGGTGATAAAAATTTCATAGATTTCTCATAGATGGCTCTAGGACTGAAAAGTCGTTGAAAAAACCAAATACAAACATACTACGCAAGCACATAGAATAATTCGTGAGGTCCGCTGGTTCGTTCCGTGGCTTAGTTGGTATAGCGTCTGGCACGGTAAGCTAGAAGACGTCGGTTCGAATCCGGTCGGATCGAAGGAATTTTTTCTGAATGTTCGATCTTTGTATTAATAATTATAACAAACTAGTGGAATAATTTCACAAAAAATAATTGAATATCAATTCAATAAAAAAATATAATAAAGTTAATAAGAATTTTGAATAACCTCAGTACTAAAAAAACCGACCTCAAAAGTACGTGGAATTAAATCTCTTTGCCAAGTTTTTTTGAAATCGGTTACCGGAAAGTGCGCAAACCCGGATTCATCCCCTAGTTCGCCATTATAATAAAAATCTGTTCTCACTACTCAAAGTTTATTGAGAGAGAAAAACGCCTTGAATTAGAGAATAGCAAAATCAACCATTAAAATAGTTGCTCCTTATAATAAGACTTAGGTGCTATTTATAAAAATGAATCTTCATGCGTGAACAGCCACTCTTAGAGGTGGATGATTTTCTTCAAAATGAAATGAGACCACCATGGAGGTACCCTCTTTCCAACAAAAAAAGAATCATGACAATCGATGCCCAAATACCGGAGTTATCGCGTAACATGCATACAAAAAAACATACTTTCGAATTGAGAACCTCCACCTTTTTTAAATCGGTTAAAAATAGGGTGCCATTTTGCTGTTAATGTATGACTCGAACAAGTTTCAGTTTAAAACAGAGGGGGAAATGAACATGTTACAAATGTAATGTCGTATGTTTAAAATTTCTAACATTTGGCATTCTGTGCGTGTCTTTGCATGATCAAGCTTATTATCGATGCTTCAAATTTGGACGCCTCGTGTTCCGCTAGTCACGTTTGGATTTACTCCCCTTCTTTTTGTACTTTAGACAAACTGTATTCTGCATATTGTTGAACATCCCTGAAAGGGAGTGTTCGTACACAGACATATCAACCAATTGTTTGTATATTCAACAGTATGCAAATAAAATCTTGGTTACATAACTAAATCAATCTTATCTCAGTTAATAAATAATCATATCTATAACTAGAGGAAAAGGTGGTAATGTGATCCCCTGCCGGTATATTGGCCCCCGTCGATATTTCATTGTTTCCTCAACGTTATCAATTATTTTTTGCAACCAATAATAAGTCCATGTGACATTAACAATTTAACACCGGTAAAACTCTCTAAATGGCTCATTCTTTTTCTGTGGTTCGAACTAGTCAAAAGCTGCAACCCCGAACAATTTTCAAGTGCCGCTGATTTTATTAATTAAATTAAGAAACATTGTGTTTTCATTTGTGAAGGGAATTAAAAATATATAAAATTATATATTGTGGAAATTAACTGTAAAATGTAAGAAATTTTAATTTGGTACACTCAATATGTAAGTTATATAATCCCGGGGGCCATATGCATATACGAGTAGATTTTATTTATAAAAATCAATTAGCCCAATTTATACAGAGGAGCCAGCAGCACTAGTACTCCTCGGTATCGAAGAGAATCAGTAGTAGAACAAGCAGTAGCTCAAATAAGGAATTCGACCAAAATAATGACTTTGATGTTGATGCCGATTCTGTTTCATATACAATACGTGAACGATTTTATGATACGCGTAGTAAAGAGTGAATCCAATGCCAAAGTTGCATTTTATGGGCATATACGTAGTGCACAGGCCCTGATGGCGTATATTACATTTTTGCGATTTTTGCCGTTAACTAATTTTGATAGTTTTTAACTAATTTTCATATTTTAAAATGTATCTAAACATTTGTTGATAGTCTTATTTAACAAGTCTAATTTTTATATGTTTATTTTGTAGTTAAACGTTTTTTATTTGTTTTAAGATTTCCGTTTTTTTTTATACATTCAATATGGCCCCCTAGGTGCCGTAATAACCGCCTAAATGTCAAGTTGCGACTTTTGTCAATTTTCAAAATCCACATAACTAAGAAAACACTATAGCGATTTCTTTTCAATTGCTCCTGCGAATTTGTAACAACATATATTTGAAACAAACTTGTAAAAGTTATAAAACTCTTAGTGTTAGAACACTCCACTGAAGCCTGAAAAAACAAAGTTGGATGCCATATTACCAGCTTCTCCTCTATTTATAAACAAGTACATATTTGTTATAAGAAAAATTATCAATTTTATAAACATTCCTGTCAAGTCTGGAATTTCAATTTAGTATCGATCCTTCAATATCTATCGTGAATTGCACTCGAGTACAGTCGTCATCGTTTTCCAATGTACAAAGCCTCTTTAGGATTACGGGGCCCTCGGTTGTCATGGCAACGCTTACGCTCTCTGTATATCCCAGCTTAGTTGATTCTTCAATGCCAAATGCTATCCTATTAAATCCATTGATTGTATGAGAGATTCTATAAGAAATATGATATGATTGTTTCGTTTCCTTTTGTGTATTATAAGATAGCAACTTTTACAAAATATTTAAGTAATATTTTTCTTAATGTAAAATTTATTTTATAAAAAGTTATATGTTTGAAATTATATTGATGTATAACGATGATGTAGTTAATGGAAGTTTTTACTCTCATCTTTCATTACATAGACTAAAGAAGAATCTTCTTTTAGGGTGTAACGTACCCATCCTGTCACGGCATCTGGAGGATGTGGGCCCCACCTCTCGAGAGATCCAGACTGGCCACGTTGGCTTTTTGTGGCACCTACGCTGGTATTGTCGTAGGAATGCCCCTGTCTGGTCTGCTGACTGATTACATTTCTTGGGAAGCACCATTTTACTTCTATGGCATATGTGGTGTAATCTGGTAAGTTAGTTGCTTTATAAGACCTTTGTAAAATTCATAGTATATATACATACACAGGGTATCCTAGAACTCAACGTCAAGCGGTTACTTGTTTTTAGAATATGAAGTGACAAAGTTAGCTGACATATTTTTTTTAAACCATGACCCAATGAAACTTTTATTTTTTTTATTAAACTAACAATCGTATGATTTGTGACTGCGATAAGTGGCATGGCTATTTAGGATTACGTAAAAAATAAACAACTGCAAAATTTGAAAATTTGTAATGACTTTACCTAAAGATGTGGCCTAGTGTGTTGATTTTCAACATTTCCAAAAATATGCATAGTATCACTTAACTTGGTTGGTTGACATGGTTTTTTTATTTTATTTTTACCAGAACCGCTATAACCTGACCTTTCGTCTAGTGACCGCTTGACATTGAGTTCTGGGACAGCATGTATATTTTTTTTATATTTATTTAGAATATAGAACTGGTTATGTAATTAACTTTTTTAAAGGTACACATGTTGGCTGTGGTTGGTGTTTGAGAGGCCCAGTAAGCATCCCTGTATCAGTGGCAAGGAATTGACGTACGTAGAACAGTCTCTTGGCACAAACACACAAGCTGCTATGCCCAACTTTTGGAATACTCCTTGGAAAGCTTTTGCGACTTCACCACCGGTAAGCGATATTTACACAACACTTTAACTGCCTCCGTGGCCGAACGGTTACCATGCCGGACTGCCACGCAGAGGTCCCAGGTTCGATTCCCGGGCCGGGCGAAATATTTGTATGACCTACATTTATTTCTCTCGTGAGTAATTTGTGGTTGTCTATGTGTGTGTCCATGGCACCCGCGACACAGGGTTTCCCTAGTGCGGGGCTATGTTGAGTGTGTGCGTTATTATTATTATTATTATTACTTTTGAAAATTCGAATGTTACGTAACTTTTTTAAATTGAACTTGAATTATTGAATTTAGCCGTTTATGACTTTATAAAAAAAACTTGTAATGAACTATTATTTCATATCGTTTCACATCATCGTATTCGTATAGCAATCGTCTTATGTTTTAGGTATACGCAATCATCGTAGCTAATTTCTGCAGAACGTGGAACTTTTGTCTTTTAGTTATTTTCCAGTCAGCATATTTCAATACCAGGTTCAACATGCAGATTACTGAGGTATTTTTTGTTTGTCTTATAATTGTTTCTGTTGCAAATATGATAAAGGTGTATTATTATTGTGTGTTTAATTTTCTTGCAGTCTGGCTTTGTAGGTGCAATACCCCATTTGATAATGACGTCACTAGTGCCAATAGGAGGTATGCTAGCCGATTATTTGCGTAAAAACAACATTATGACCACAACCAACGTGAGGAAGCTCTTCAACTGCGGAGGGTTTGGACTCGAGGCCTTCTTCTTTGTCCTCGTGGCTTATGCCAATAATAAGGTAAATAATCAATTGCGTCATCAAGTGTAAGAGATCTTTAAGCGTTATAAAGATATGCTTTTAGCCGAATTCACTAAATCTCGAAAAAAGTAAGTTTGCTTTATTGCTGCAATATTCATCCACTGATGTAAAAGAGTCCATAATCGATTTTATAGTTCTCACACCGGTACTAATTCTGTACGATTGTACGATTTGTCTTTTTAGTCTTAAATTACAATCGTATTTAAACATCGGTATTTTGCAGGAGTTTTCATGTATCCCATTCTTTATTGACATTCATTTTCTTCTAGGGATTTATTTATAAACATTCTATTATTTTTTCCAGTACATAGCAACAATCGAGCTAACCCTCGGCGTGGCATGTAGTGGTTTTGCTATATCTGGATATAACGTTAACCATTTGGACATTGCGCCTCGATACGCGTCCATCCTGATGGGTCTGTCCAATGGAATTGGAACTATTGCCGGGTTTATCGTCCCTATTGTCATCGACTACATGACACAGGAGAAGGTAAATGCTTTCTTCGTCTTTTTATCAACAATTTCGTTTAAGTATAGAGAAATATTACTTTTTTCGTACTCAGACAAATGGTAACACAGAAAGTAACAAAAAGAAAGCACCAAAATTATAAAAATAAAAAACCTCAATACAAAACAAAAGTATACTCCAAAAATCAAAGTCACCATCCGTAAGCTAACAACTCGTCGAGATCAATTGAATGAGCTTAAACACGATAGTTCTATTGTAAGTTTCGAGAAATGAGGTCCGCAGACGGTCTTGGTTGTAGCATCGGACAAAGGTTGCCATATTATTGTAATATCATCGAATTTCCATGATATAATTAATATCAAGTCGATCGGACAAGTGGAACTAAAATGAAAATTATTTTTATGATTTGGGATATCCCAAAACTAATTGGGAAACGACCTGATGATTAAATTAGTCTTCAAATAAAAAAAAACCTCTTCGAGACCAGTCCATCCATTTGGGATCTACGACGCCACAGACCGACTACATGCACAGACAAAAACGTGAAACTTTTAACTTCTTTTTGGGTCGAGGATTAAAACTAAATACGAATGTTAATGTAAATTTATGTAATTACCGTTAACTATAAAGATATAGCAACAAAGAATAAGGAAAATAACACTCTTGAAAACAATTTCCCATTTTGGGACTATGCCTTTTGCTTATTACTAAATCAATTTTTATTTTGAGAGCTTTGGAATAGCGGTCGTGCGTTCATTGAAAACTTTGAAGTGACACTCCCCTACACGGTAACGGTTTTCCCGGCCTCGCGAAACAAAAAGGACACTCGGCCGTGGCTAATTTAAAACTGGGAGAAGGAAATCGAGCTGTGCGTGCCGAATACCAATGAGGGCTTTGTGGGTGCGCGCCGATGCGTTACACTGAAGCATTTCGCGCTACCACTTTATTATCGTCGGGTGTCGCTCAGGGTGCACTTTTCGCACCAATGGCTTTTGCATTGCATTCAGTGATATGGGGTTTTGATGATTTATCACAGTATTCATTATAATAATACTATATGGTGAAAATATACATATACTTGCTCCTGCACATATTGTTAACGTCGTTTTGTTTATTGATATAAATTCCTTCCCACCTTTAAGCGGTAAATGCTTGTCATATCCATTACTGTGATATTTTCCTATCATTCCTTAGATGAAGCAAGAGAAAGCGATAACTGAGTGGCGCGCAGTATTTCTAATGGGTGCAACGGTGCACTTCATTGGCATTATAATCTACGGTATATTCGCATCAGGCGAATTACAAGAATGGGCTGAACCTCCACCAGCCTACGATGCGCCAGCTAAATCATCGCTGGACCATGAAACCACATTCGTAAGTACTGTAAATCAAGTGTGATTACATTTACGAGAGACGTGTTGCCGTCTTTGTGAAACTAGAAGAGAAACCAAGTTCTAAAAAACTTTATTTTTGTTTGCCAGAGGTAATGTGATTTTATATCAGTCTTTTATACATAATCCAATAACTTATAGACGGAGAAACCATCAGACCCGCTTCGAGGTAACGAGCCCCCAGCGTACGGTGCGATTGCGCCGCCGCGGCCTCCTGTGCCTGGTGCTGCGTCCGCGCAGCACGTACCCAACAACCCGTTTGTATCAGGTGCGTTATACCAAGCACAGCCAGTGCAGCCACCCACCCACACATACCAGGATCTCACTGATGACGGCACTTATTAGAACTCCATATTGTAAATAAATTGTTGAACGATGGCAAACATTTTCAGACTCAAACTCATCAGAAGTAGGAAGATTATTTAATACTGACATTACCGACTCATTTGATGTGTCCCATTACAGAAAGTTTGTACCCCATGCGACTTATCTGGATGGAACACATACTGGACTTTTTGGTTCAAATTCAAAGTAATATGCAACATTTTTTATGAAAATTATTATTGCATACGTTATCCCAAATTTAAGAAGCAACAATTTAAGCCTTGATTGATTTTGTCGTGATTTGCCATCTTTCATAATAAAAGACGTCGAATTCAGCTTGGAGTCTTTAATATTTTTCTAGCTAGGTAGAAAATAAACTTCAGAAGTAATAATTGTTCGTAATCATTAGCTTACCACATCATATCTACAAATATCGTTTTGCTTCATAGTCTATATTGTGTTTAACGAATGTAAAGTTTGAAACTAGGTTTTGTACTTATTTTAATGATGGAAATGTTGACGAATTAAATGGTCTAGATTTTTTCATCAATCGTTGTACTTAATAGGTACGTTTAATATTTTTTTATATTCAACTTTTTATGTATTTGCGTCTTGTTTTTTTTTTGTTAAACGTTATGTGATTACGTTTACGTTTAGGTTTATTAGTTACATTTTTCAATTTTTGCTGAACTGAATAATTGTATATAATGTATAATTAAATTTCGCAGGCATATCATCAGAAAGAAAGTTTAAGTAGACGCCCAGTATTCTATTGATATTATGTGATGTTCTTTATTATTACTATTAATACGTGTTATAATCTTAATAGTTTTGCAATAATTGGACTTTATTTTTCTGTGATAGTAATTTAATTTTGCTCGGATTATTGCTACAGTTTCGTATAAAATGGTTATAATATTATGAATACGTATTTACGAAAATAAATTGTTCAAATTTAGGATTGTACTAATTCAAATGTATAAGAGTAGAAATTAAATAATGCGTTAATTACAAAGGGAAGAAATGTAATCATTATACGTAGTCAAGTTTTTTTTTCTTATCGTTGATCAACGGCGCTTTCAAATTGGACGCTTATGAAAGCGCTGCAGTGGCGCCACATTGGTGCTGCAACCGCGCCACTACATTTGCAGACTAGATCGATGCCTCCAATGAACACTACGCCAACTGAATTTTTCGACCTGTTCAGTTTTTATTTCTATTTTCACAAAATTTGTTTTGTTTCTCTATTTTTTTTTGCACAAAATTCAGGGAGCATAATAATAAAAAATAAATATGGCTATTTTCAAAAATAGCAGAAAATGATCAAAAAATAAAGTTGGCGTAGTGTTCATTAGAGATATCGAGATATTGTATGAAAATGAATAGTGACGCGGCTGCCGCCACATGAAGCCCCAAGGCAAATATAAGTTTAATGTAATAATTGAAATATTTTAATGTTTGTGATAAAATATTTGTGCGCACAATACGCACAATTCCTAAATCTTGTTTAATACGTTAAAAAGGCAATCACAATTTTCGGGTTAGTCATTAATTGGATTATTAGTTACTGACGCTTTTAATATAATGTTGCTCATATAGTAATTTTTTAATATTCACATTTTTAATATTTTTTAATATGATCAATACATGAATCAATATATACTTACAAAATTCATTTTATTAATTTATCGTTTGAGAATCGTTTAATAACAAGCTCACTTGATGGTGTTTTTGTATTATTCATTGTTACAAGCCAATTTTAATTTTAACCACACATTTCTCATATATAATATAAATATAGATATATAGACATAGGTATGTACGTAGCTTCGTAATTAAGTAAATACATAATTGTAATACATAAATAATTGATAAAAAATATCCGTTTCATACGTATTTTAGGTTTGTTACATTATAATGCCGGTCTGACTTTTGAAATTTGATTTGCTCTGACTAAGCAAAGACGGCGAGGTAAACAAGGTTTTCTTTCAACTTAGGCGAAGTTCGTTTTGTAAATACTACTAGCTCGCCATTTTTACTTAGTCGAACTCTTTTTTTTATAACGCACACACTCAACATAGCCCCGCACTAGGGAAACCCTGAGTCGCGGTGCCATGGACACACACATAGACAAACACACATTACACCCAAACTCACGAGAGAAGTAAATGTAGGCCATACAAATATTTATTTCGACCCGAATCGAACCTGGGACCCCTGCGTGGCAGTCCGACATGGTAACCGTTCGGCCACGGAGGCAGTTAAATTCGTTTTTTAAATCTATGACTGACTATATATATATTCATCATGAAATTCAGCCTGACGCTCAACATGATATTTCCCTTCGAACGTCAGATTGACAGATATGTCCTTAACCTTTTGGCTTGAGGATAAACATATCTTTAGACAAATTAGCTGCATTTATCATTAAGATATGTCTCTTTATCTAGCAGTGAACTGAAGCAAATGGATTTATTTTTTCAAATAAAATACTTTAAAAGTATTTCTTATTACATTCTGGTCACTTTTTAAACAGGCGATGTAAATAATAGAAACAAATTTCCACATAAGATGTGATAATAATTTAGGATTTCTCATTGACAAAGTATATCATAGTAATGTATATATAAACTTGTAGAAATAAAAAAAAAACTTAATGTTTCCTGCATATAGCAACATAGAATAAAGAAGAATGTGTTAATTATGAATGGCTCAATCAACTTTTTTTCCCAACTCTTTCTTCAAAAACAATGTATGTGATAATCCCATATCACAAAGCATTTATAAAGTCATGATATCCTTATTTTATATCTCAAGATGTATAGCAGCGTTTATGAATTATTTTTGAAAGTTTTCATGAAAAACTTCATCTTATTCCTTGTATCTGTGTCTACTGTGCGTTGTGTTACTAGAACTTAAATTACTTAAGTTCGTTAAAGGAAACGTTTTCAGTCATTCTCGGACTTCACTGCCTAATTTCCGTGGCAATTTTTATTATTTTCAAGTACATTATCGTGTAGGTAATTACTAAATAATTTTTCACTATACAGTACTCGAATATTAAATAATATTGCATTATATAACGCATCACGCACAATAACGCACACACTCAACATAGCCCCGCACTAGGGAAAAATCTGTGTCGCGGGTGCCATTGACACACACATAGACAACCACAAATTACACTCACGAGAGAAATAAATGTAGGCCATACAAATATTTCTCCCGGCCCGGGAATCGAACCTGGGACCTCTGCGTGGCAGTCCGGCATGACAACCGTTCGGCCACGGAGGCAGTACAACGTCGAATACTTCAATAATAAAAATTGCCACATATAATATTTACGATCATAGAGCTCTATTTCAAGTTTGTAGCTTTACGAATCACATAGAATGTAGTATGTAATTATACTATAAATATACGATGAATTATAATTTTTGTACAAAAAAATCATATTGTAGAGGTTCGATATAGGCTACAGATAAATTGGACTTTTTTTGTTAATTATAAAAATGTCAACCAAGTTTTAAAAAATTAGAGACGGCCCAGTTTCGGCAGAAAAATTGATTGACCCAGTTATCTGACTAATGACATTTTTGGGCTCCTAACCGGCGATCTTGAAAGCAAGTTTAATATATACAAGTTCAGAGCAATATGCTCTCACTTTTAAATCAACACCCTCACAAAACAAAAAAAAAACTTTTGGAAAATGGTGTTTAAAATGTGAGAAAATAACATTGACGAAAATAAGTTTAAATTTGGAAAAGCAGGATTTTCGTTTAGTGACGGCGTGGTGACAGTATTGTTTTGAACGTGTGATATGTCAAAAGCTTTACGTTTCAAAAAACTAATTCTGAACTGCAGAACTTGAAATGCAAATATGTTGTGTGTACACAATGTGACATTTCACTTTGGGCTGTAGACTTGCATTCGATTTCGACGGTTAGACGAAAAAGTTAATTCTTAATGGTAATTTGTCTCATTTATGTAAAGAATCGAAAAAAACAGTAATTCACACCTTTGGTGTAATAAGGCCACATGTGCAAAATTACAACTTTCAAGAGATGTGTAAAGAAACTACGAACGAAATTACGTATCAAGAGTTATAAATTTTCACATATATATAATGTGTTTCATGTAGTTCGTATCACCTTTATGACTTGCATATCGATGCCTTACTTTCTCAAACTCGTATCTTATAAAGAGTGACTATTCAGGTGATGGCAAAAATTTGTATTTATTTTAAACTTCTTATCAAGGGTGTTAATTTGGATGCATTACCTACTTTAAGAACAGGTAAAAGCCAGTGTGTGAATATTAAGAAGTGATATGAAATCAGCCTGCAAAATTTGTACATACAATCCATTTTTTACATTTCAGTAACGTTGTGCTTTAGATACGAGTTTGAGAAACTAAGACGACGATATGACAAAAGCTTTCTTGACTTGTGATCACGCGTAACTTTATTATACCAATGATACGAATTCGTAATAAGAACAAATTGGATTTTTTTGTAAATAATATTAATTTGTAAATCACGGTTACGTTTAAGAATATATTTGTCTTATTTCTGAACTCATTGCAACGTTAAACATAAATGGTAACTATTTTAAATGTTCTGCTTCCGCACCTCGTAGTTACACAAATCAACGCACAAAATGCACTTAAATATATTTAGTATAGTTACATCGAACTTGTAAATGTAATAACGTAAATTAATATATAGCCGTATCTATGGTACGTAGGTTCATACATAGCGTAGCTAGAAGACGTAACGTCGTGTAAAAAACACTTTTCTGTATAGAATGCTATTTTTACGAGCACATGCACTTTTTGTTTATTTCTGTAGATACGTGCTTAGTACGATTTTCATTTAATTGTTTACATAAAACATGAAGTGTACTCTTTGTAACCAGCTTTAAGAACGTTAATCGTATGACAATACCATTAAATTAGACAATAATTTGCTCACTATTTTATGAATATTTAGTATAAAATTTTAATTTTTATAATTTATTCATATATTAGAGGGAATTGATTGCATGACAATAACATCTTGAATAAGGTTCTAGAGACCAAAATTGACACTTGTTAAATGTGCACTTTACTCAAACATATAGCTGTATTTACAACTCTTAGACCCGATCGTAAGGTATATAGATTAATAATTTTGTAGCCTTTAATTTTCATAACTTAAATTGTAATGGAAATCGAAACAGCGTACTTACGTCTCGACCTGCAGCATTATATTAAAATTATCACACGAATGTGAGAATCACGGATCTAAAATAATACAAGTTCTTTCTTCGAAAAATATGATGTTAGGAGTAAAATTATTCGAAAACGTGTAACATAAAATTAATCTTAGTCTGCTGTGTGACTAAGGAATCTTCAACTTTAATTTCAGCTTCTATTAGAGACTTGTA